CAGCTCTTCTGGACTAGGAAAGTTCTACTTGTTTGTCTTTCTAAGAGCCACAGTCTCGGGGCTATCAGGAAAGAGATCTCCCAATCATAGGCTTGGGATCTTAAATGCAAGAATTTAGGACACAAGGGCTTGCAGGTGACACCACCCACCTAGACCCCAGCTTTATTCTGAAGAAGTCTGGGAGGGTCCTGGACTCTGCCTCACCATCCCAAACTTCCAGCCTCTCTGGCTCAAATCCAGGCTCAGCCCACAAACATCTCTGGCCTGAGCTGAAAGCCCTGGGGAGGGGAGGAAGTGGCCGACCCCCACAGGCAGCATTCCTGAGCCATGACCACAGCCTGCTCACTGCCCAACCCACTCCATCTGGAGGGCAGCTCTCAAGGAGTCACAGAGGGCTCCCTGCAAGGGGCTGAGGCCTCCTTCCACTGAATGTATCCAAGGGACCTGATTGGGCTGCAGGGCCAGGAGAGCTGGGGGCAGGTGGGGGGGGTCCCCTGGAGTGAGTCAGATGGCCACCAGGCCCACTCTAGATGCCTCTGACTCACCGCATCTCTTTACTCATTCCATCAATCCTCACTGAGACCCTCCTGCTGGTTAGCTGGGTGCTGGGTCCTGGGAACCCAGCAGGCTGGGCTAGGCAGGCACGGCCCTCCGCTTAAGGGGCTCCAAGTCCTGTAGGAGAAATCCCCCAGCAAATAAAGTACATGAATGGGATAGTCTCAGCCGCGATAAGAGCCATGAAGACAATAAAACTGGATGTGTCAGCCAGTGGTAAAACTGGGGACTTAAACGGTTTCAGGGGGCCGCTCCATTCCTCAGACTTCACCTGCCTCCACCCCTGCATGCACAGCCCCCTCACCTCCCTGCCCCCTACGCCCACTTCTGTGGGGGCAGCTGCATTCGGGTGGGGCTTTTCCGGGGCCGGTTTTCCCCAGCTCCTGCTGGAACTTCCAGAGAGCCACTGGCCCGCGACACTGGACGCCTGCCCGTCCCCTGCCCCCGGCCGCCGCGTGAACCTCAGCACTCCCGGCGCGGTTCCCGGAAACTCCTCGATTTCCCTGTCGCCCCGGCGTTTGCAAGAAACAGAAACCCAGGCTCCGCCCCTCGGCGCGGGCCCGAGCAACCCCGGGTGGCCGGCCGGGCCCTGCCCCGTTGCGCCCCCGCCCGCAGGGCCGGGCGGAGGCTGGAGCCCGCATGAGTGTCCGGGTTCCGCCGGGCGCCGATCCCCCGCCGGCAAGGCTGCGAGTCGGACTCGAGTCGCGCGGGCCGCGGCGGAGGACGAGCGCCCCTTCGGGGACACCTGACGTGGCCTTCCCCTGCAGGGGCGGAGGCGGGCGCCATTTCTGTGCGCCTACTGTGTGTCCGCGGGCGCGGGAGGCACGGCAGGGCAGGGGCATTTACGAAGGGCTCTGCACCCCGAGGTGTTACTGGTTTCTTCTTGCGGCGGTGGGGATAATGCACACAGAGAAGTTGCGTAACTTGCCCGAGGTCGCACGGCCAGGAGTTGCGGCGCGGGCTGCAAATCCAGGCCCGCAGAGGGAGGCTGGGCGGGGAAGGAGGAGGAAGTGGCTCGGGCACCCGGCAGGTGAGCCGCTGGCCTGGGCGGGGCGGCCAGCGGGGCGGGGAGGGAGGTGGTCACAGGCGGCCGCGGGAGCGCTGAGGTTGGCAGGCTTTCCTCTTCTCCTGCCTTCCCTCCCTTTCCAGGAAGCCAGCCAGGCCGGAGCCGCCGCTGACCCTAACTCACCCCCAGGCCGGGCTGAGCAGGAATGTGGAAGTTGGCCCGCAGAGCTTGGGCCCCCTCCCCTCCAAATAGACACACACACACACACACACACACACACACACACACACACACACACACACACACACACACACACACACACACACACACACACACACCCTCAGGCCGGGGGCAGCGCGAGCAAGCGAGGAGATCCACACCTGGACTGGGATTACCCAGGGCGAAGTAGGTGTACAGCTACCCCCACAAAGGCCAAGAAGCCTGCCAGGGGCGCCCTGGACTAATGACAGTGGGTGCAGGCCATGTTGCAGGACCCATTTGCGAGGGGGAGGAGGGTGCTGCTCTCATCCAGGTCCATTGCGGCCGTGGCTGCTGCTGGGGCACAGAATCGGCCCTCCCACCCCGCCTCGCGGGGGCCCCCACGGGGTGGATGGGGAGCTGAGGCCTCTTTCCTCCCAACGCAGTGTTTATGAGAAATGAAACTGCACAAGGCATCAGCGGCAGCCCACACTGACACCCATTCCCCCTCCGGGGTTCCGGAACAGCCCGGGGCGCTGGAGTGACTCCACCGGCATTCTCAATGGCAGGGCCCCCTAGTGCTTTCCCAGTCAGCTGCAACCTCCCACTCTGCGTTTAGTATTTTTATAACTGCATAACGTTTATTCTGCTGTGTCATATAGCATTTTTGCTAGTGCTGTGAGGTGAGGGGGAATAAACTCGTGCCCAGCATATCCCCAGGGCCAAACCTGGAGTTGACCCAGAGCAGGAGTGTGATTTGTATTTGTCTAATGAATTAAGAAACGGCTTCCATTCTCTTGAACTTGAACTTGCAGGCAGGGTGAAGCCGCCTGGATTCTATCGTCAAGTTTTGGATGCTTTTAGATGATCTTATGCCTCACTTGTGCTCTGTCTGCCTCCCAGGTTTGCTGGGAAAATAGAGATGATGGACCTGATTGGTGTGGCTCAGTTGGTTGGGCATTGCCACGTGGGCGAGGGGTGGCTGGTTCCATTCCCAGTGGGAGGTACATGCCTGGGTTGTGGGTTCAGTCCCCAGTTGGGGGCTCAGTTTGCGCACAAGGCCCAATTGATCCATGTTTCTCTCTCACATTGATGTTTCTCTCCCTCTCTTTCTTCCTCTCTTCCCCTCTCTCTAAAAATAAATAAATGAAAACTTAAAAAGAAAATAGAGGTGGTGTCTGGGAGGAACTTGGAGCATCTAAGAGAGCCCTCCCTCTGGACCTGGAAGGCTGGGACGCCTGCCTGGGCTTCATCTGCTTTGGGCACTGTGACCACTTCTGGTAGCAGGCCCCACAGGGACCCCGGACTGCCCTACTCTCAAAACCCTAGTAAAGCCTCACCAGTCCTGCACCTCAGAACTAACTGGACCCACCTAGGGGGGAGCAGCGTGTTCTGAGGGGCTGACGGAGGGGACAGAATTTGGTCCATCAGGGAAGAGGCTCTCACAGGACTCGTCTTGCCTCCAGCATCATGAGTGCCAGGCAGTCAGCGCCCCCACCAACCGAGGACAGCCCAGGGCCCACTACAGAGCAGCTGTGCCATGCTGGGGGAATGACAGTGTAGATGGGAGGCACCCTGGGAGCCCCCCTGCTCCAGAGCTGAGACCCAGCTAACTCCAGCTATAGGTGTGAGGAACTCAGGTCTCTTGCAGAAAAATGCAGAGTTCCCCAGCAGGTCACCACCCAGAATGTGATACATGGAGAAAAGGCAACATGAAAGTTTAGGGTGAGGGGCTTTTGAGGAGCAGAATGACTTCTAGCTGGCTGCTTTGGGGGTACTTCAGAAAACAGGCATTTGCTCTGGGCACTAATATGGAGACTGAAATGGAAGTGTGGGGAGGGGCAGAGAGGGGGAGAACTGAAATGGGGGGGTGAGTATTGCTAAGTCAGGGTTGAGAAGCAAAGACATGGGGGTGGAGGGAATACAAGATGTGCTCACAGAATGGAAATACAGTGAAAGAGCCATGCATTTCTGTTAATAATACAGTGGCATTTGACTAATGTTTTACAGTGCAGCAAGGAGTTCGACAGTCTATAGCATTTCATTTTCACAACAAGTAAGAGAGGGTCTAGAATATCTCTGATTTACAGATGAGAACACTGAGGCTCAGTGAGGGGCAGAAACTTGCCCAAGGTCACAGGCAAATAGCAATGGCACAAGAACCCAGGATTTTGAACGCAAATTCTACGTTCTCTTCCACTGCCCTCTAGTTATTGCCAAGGGTAGGTGAGCTGTGGGAGAGAACGTTGGAATGGGACCCTCAGGACCAGAGTGAGCAGTGATTCAAATGTGGGCCTGAGGAGTCAGGGAGAACTGAGAAGGCTCCAGGGTGAACCCGAATGCTAGGGGCATGGTCCAAGTTAGGGAGGTGACCCTATTGCGGAGGCACCTGGAAGGGTGGGCCCCAGGGAAGCTGTGGCAACACGGTCTGCTCCTGCAATGTGAAAATACAGCTTGGTATAATGGAAGGAAGCCTCAGAGGACCAGGTGAGGCAAAGAGGATTGGAGAATGACCAAGACCTCAGGAGAGAGGGAGCCGGAAATAGGCAAGAGAAAGCTGCTGGGCACAGTATGGGAGGGGAGGCTGGGAGTTCTGCTTGTATGAATGTGACTCCATGGGTAGGGTTCTAGGGAAGGGTCCAACCCTTCCCTAGGGACAGAAGTCCACCAGAGTTTGAGTTTGGACATCACCTGCCCAGAGGGGTTGCCTGCAATCACAGAGGATGAATATTTTGAGTCAGAGGGGAGAAAGGGCCAGTCCTGAATTACTAAGGAAAACCTAGAGAAGTCTTTGTTATCTGCTGAGCATTACAGGGCATATGGGATGCATCTTAGAATAGGCAAAGATCAAAAGCAGTTACAATAAAAGTTTGACGTACTGCAACCAGGTATAGCTTTCTCTCACTAATTTAGAGTATAGCACCCCCAATCCTGATAAGCAGATTCTCTTATAGGCTTCAGCGTACAATAGAATCCCTAGAGTTAGAAGTTTAAAAAGAAAAAAAACTCAAAGAACACTTTAGAGATGTAAATAACAATTTCATTGGTAAATCCTAACACTGGGGAATTTCTCCTAAGCAAAAAATTATTGATGTGTGCAAAGATTTAGCTACACTGTGTTGTTTGCATTATGAAAAAATGGAAATAACCTAAATGTCCTACAATAGGGGATTAATTGGGTAAATTTTTATTTATCTTTATGATAGAATAATACACACCCATTGCAAATGATATTACAGAAATACATTTCATGACATGGAAAGTGGCCCATTATATATACATATGTATTTACAGGTGATTTTCTGTTTTAAAGCACATTTTACAGTCTCCTGTTGTCTTCACGGGGTCATTTTGGTCAGTTTGTCAGACCACATGAGATGCACACTTCCTCTCCTTAATCTCATTCTGAATTTTCCAGTGGCCGTGTCAGGTCCTTAGGGAGGGGACAAGCATCCACTTGCTGCACAGAGAATGGACCTCCCAGCTCAGGAGCCAGTTGCTCCTGCTCCTTTGCTCAGGAGGTCTCGGTCTCTGTGGTGGGTCCCCATTCTCATGTGTTGCTCAAAGCCCCCCAACCATTCCTGGCCCTCAGCACGGCCCATTTCGCTGAACACCCATCTGGGTTCATTCCTCGCAGTCCCTCCTGCCTCTTTGCCTCTCCCAACTCCTTCACCCACCGCCTGAAGTGGCTGAACCCATTCATTTCCTCTCTGGGAGGGAGGCGATGGAGGGACTGAATGGTGGAATGCTGCATCCATGCGTCTATTTATAGCCTGCATCAAGACAACTGGGTGCTGCCTGAGGGAGAGCTGGGTGAAGAGCCTGATGCGCTGTCCCGCCAGAGAGAGCCTTTACTTCTGAGTCAGCACCTTTAGGGAAGTGAAGGAAGGAGCCTGCTGGGGCAGAGTTCTGGGTGGAAAATGAACACTCAACCCAGCCTCTAGCAGCACACAGGTGAGGCAAGGTCTAGTTGTAAGCGCAAAAGTTAACTTGCTGCCCTTCCCAAGGAGCCTAGGACCTGGGCTCCCCAACCCTTTGTCTAGATGCATATGACCGTGGCCAGCCAGAAGAAATTCCCCCATGCTGCCCAGAACGTCTCTGGGCCAAGCCTTGAGAATCCAGAGACAACACCAACGCTTCTACTGTGGAACTGCCACGCAAGGGCCACGTGAGGCTGTGGAGATGGCCTAAGGCAGGAGTTCTAGGAGAAACCCGAGGCTGCCCCCACCACCACCCCAACTCAGCAGTCCCTTCTTTTCCCTTTCCTTGAGGCCAGCCGCGGGGCAGTCCCAAGGAAGTAGACCGAGAAGGGGGCGAGGCGTCTCCCCGTCACTCTTAGACCCTGGCTAGGGATTTCGCAAACCACACAGCATCTGCTGTCCAAGTGGGGCATGGTGCTCAATGGATATTATCTCTCTGTCACTGTAAACCAGCGAGGTAGGGTGATTATTTTGCAGCTGAAGACAGTGAAGTCCCGAGTCCCTTGGAGAGCGGCGCCAGCCGCGCCAGTCTGCGATTTCCTCTCGCTAGGCGGCTCCGCAGGCAGAGGAGGCTCTCCTTTGCTTCCCCCGGGCAGGTGAGTGCCCTGCAGGTGGGTCACCCCTCAAGATGCGGGTATTGTGAGGGCCGAACACCCCCGCCCCCTTCTTGACATCCCACTGGCGAGCTTGAGGAAGCAGGCTGATTTTCAGGAATTCAATCCCGGCGTCCACTCCGAAGAAGGCGGCAGGTGCCCGGCTGGCCCCTCACCTGCGCTCCGGAGTCAGACGCCTTCACCCTCGTCCTCTCCGCTCCCCCCGCCCCCGAGAGAAGGGCGAGGAGATGGCCTCCGGGGCGAGCCGGCTGAGAGAACGCGGACCGGGGAGTAATTGCGGGGAGGAGCGTTCGGCTCTCCAGGGCGGCCTTTCTCCGGGACGAGCTGGGGTGGGGGTGGAGTGCGAGCCGGCGGGGGGGCCGGTCGGGCGGCGGCGGAGGGGGTGGGTAGCAACAGCCGCCCTGTACTTCCCCTTCGCCGCTAGCTCTACAACAGCATGATTTCCCCGAAATGATGGGGCGGCGCCGGCCAATGGGCGCGCTCGCAGTCCTCTGGAGGGCGGGGCCCAGCCTGGGCTGGGGAATCCCGCTAAGTGTTTAGATCGCGGTCCGGCGCCGCTGCCCTGGCAGAACGCGCCACTCCTTCGATCAGGCAGGTCGTGCGCCGGAGCTCGGGCGAGCAGAGGCCAGCGGGAGCCGTGCCCAAACAAGACCAGCCGTACTCCGTGGCCCCGCGACCCGGGCACCCTCTGCCTCCTCCCGGTTCCCACCCGCAGTTGCTCTCGCTGTGTCGGGACCCTCGGACGCAGCATCCGAATCGCGCCCGCTGCAGAGGTGAGCCCGCCTTCGCCGCTGGGGGCACCGGTGGCATCGAACAAAGGCGCGCGGGGCACCAGGAAGTGGGGGCTGAAAACCCCAGGCGGGAGAGTCGCGGGCGCGCGGCGTTGCCTGGTCCCCGCGCGGGCTCCGGAGGGCGCTGGAGGAGCGGCGGGCTGCCGCGCGGGGTGGGCGGGCCGCGGCTTGGACCGCCCATCCGCCGCGGTCGTCGGCGCCCCGCGGCTTTCGCAGATCTGTGTGCTGCGCCGAGCCGCCCGGGGCCTCTCGCTGGCGGGGTATGTCCGTTGCGCGCATCCACAATCCGTGCCGGGCACTCCAGTGTACGCCCGTGCGTGGGTGCCCCGCGCCCCTGGCTCAGGCCACAGGTTTCAGGCTGTTTGTGTAGGTGGCAGGGGTTGAGACTTGCTCCTCTGGACGGCTGGTGGACCTGCGGGTGGAGCGGGAGGAGGTGCTACAGGTGTTCTTTGGGTCATTTCGCCGAGGACCGGAGTCAGGGCGGGGGGAGAAAGGGTTAGCCTTCAGGCTTCTGCGCTGTGGCTGTCAGGGAGTCGGAGAATAAGTGGGCAGGGGTGGGGGAGAGGATGTCTCCGGGGCAGGGCGACTGCTCGCCCATTAGGGAAAGTGCACAGCTAGGGCAACAACTCAAGTAGGGAAATTTCTTGGCATCAAGCAAAGGAAGCCCCTTCCTTCCCAAAGGTTGTGAATTTGGGGAGAAAAGTTCTGGTATTAGGATACCTGTGTGTTTTGCCTCTTTTTCATCCACATACAACCTGCAACTGTCAGTCGCATGCTTGTCTCCTTCCAGGACTGTCCAGGATGGGGTGGGGGAAGGGGCAGAAGTGTTTTTGCCTAAGATGCTGAAAGATTTGGAGAACGGTTTTATTTCAGTAAAAGCCTCCTCCCCCACGGTTGTAGAGCCTGCCACTGGGCTGAGGGCAGGGCAGGGTAACTGGATGACCTGGGGTGGGGCAGGGCAGTGCCAGGGGCTGCTCAAACAGACTTGCAACAGGAGCCTTCTGTCTTCTCTTTACAGCCAACATGCCCATCACTCGGATGCGCATGAGACCCTGGCTAGAGATGCAGATAAATTCCAACCAAATCCCAGGGCTGATCTGGATTAATAAAGTGAGTGTAACTCTTTGGGTTTTTCTGCTCCATTTTAACCCATGTTCTTTGGGGGACCAAAGCTTCAGATGCAGCTGAAAAAGGGAAGTGATAGGGAGGAGACAGATGTGTTTCTCAGCGGGTCCTGCATGCAAGGCCCAGTCCTAAGCCCCACCTACCTGACTTCTGCCTTCCTCTCTTCTGGAGGCACGGACAGGGTACCCACCGGAAGGCACTGAGTTTCCAACAGCTGGACTCCCCCAGCACCTGAAGGGCTGGAGTTCTGATTTATCCTGAGGAAGAGTCCTAGAAACACACAGCATCCCACAGGGCTCCGGTCAGACAGATGATACTGCTGGCAGGAGGGTGACTGGCTCCCCAGGTGACCCAAGAATCAACCTCGCTCCAGTTGCCCAGACCTAAGAAGTCTCTTGCTGGTGCCTAAAGGGCAATACAGACCCTGAAGACTTGGTAGTAACAGTATTCGTAATAACAGCTACTGTTATTTACATTGTGTCATTTAATCCTCAGAATAGTCCTATGAGGTAGAACCTAGTAATCTCTCTATTTTCAGCTAAGGAAACTGAGGCACTGAGAGGTAGATAATGGCTTTGATGCCAGGACTTGAACCTGAGCTGTCTGACTCCAAAGTTCATACTGTTAACTACCAATAATGAGAACAGTGAGACCTTAGTCTTTATATTTGTCACTGTGTGTTTTCATTTCACAGAAAACAGTGAGGGACAAAGAGGTGCAGTGACAGCACCAGGGTTACACAGGTAGTCAGCATCCAAGTCTGGCCCAGGGCTTCCTCAGGTGTATGGCCAGAAGCCCCATGTCGGAGCCGATAGCCCCAGGTGTCCTGAGCAGCACTGTCTAATGGACAGAGTTCTCATTTCCACGTTGGTGCTGATAAGCCAGAGGAGCATCGCAGCAAGTGCATCTGTAACAGGCAGAGGGAGGTCTTTGCTGAGCTGGTGGTGCCACTGCGCATCAGAACCCATGGCCCCTTCTGAGAGATCCGGAGTGAGGCAGCAGCCTGTTTAAGCCAATCTCCAGATGGGTCAACCCAAGCCAGCTGTCCGGGTGAAAAGGGGAAGTCAGCTTTTCCCAGACCTGGGGGGCTGGGCAGACTCAGGCTAAAAGCCTGAGGTCCCTGAGCTGACACAACCTTGTGTACATGTGTGTGCTGTTCAGGAGGAGATGATCTTCCAGATCCCGTGGAAGCACGCCGCCAAGCATGGCTGGGACATCAACAAGGACGCCTGTCTGTTCCGGAGCTGGGCCATTCACACAGGTGTGTGACTCTTGCCCAGGAGGAGCTGGAGAGGGGACAAAGGGAGGCGCCTCTATGCACACAGAGGCCCTTCCCTGGGCTCCCTGGCTCCCTTGATGGCGTGCGGAATCTGGGGCTGGGCAGGGGGCAGGCCTCCCTGTGTTTCTGGGGAGAGGGGCCATGGTTTTAGGGAGTTTATGGCTGGATGCAAGTTCTCCCCTTCAAAAGCAGCTATGAGCCGGGATATTAAAAGAGACTCAGGCCTAACTTTTCTTGATGTCGACCAAGGTCCTTGGCTCAAGGCCCATCTGGTTGGTGGCCTCCCTTTATCCTTAGGGTCGGGGCTCTTGGGCCATCTCAGACCAGTCAGCCCACTTGTCAGTAACTGCTCTTTGATGGCGACTCTGCCCATCACCATGTTCGGCTTGTCCCTACCCTCTGGCTACTGACAGCTCCAGAGGGGAATCTGTCCGTGGGCCAGGACCAGGGTGCTTTGGGCATATGGGCTTCTGGTGCTTCCAGCCAGGCCCTCCAGTGAGGCCTGCCAGTTCATCTGGACACAAGCCTGGGCACTTGAGAAGCCCAGGGTCCAAGGCCTGCAGAGTGTCATGCAGGAACACCCGCTTGTTTGATCAGTGAGGGTCTCTGGCAGCACAAGAGCTCAGGAAACTCTTGCCTCCCTCCTCCCAGGCCAGGGGGCAGCTGAGGATCCCTGCCTTTGGCCCTGATGATCTTCTTCACTCTCCTGCCCACTAGGCCGATACAAAGCAGGGGAAAAGGAGCCAGACCCCAAGACGTGGAAGGCCAACTTCCGCTGTGCCATGAACTCGCTGCCGGACATCGAGGAAGTGAAGGACCAGAGCAGGAACAAAGGCAGCTCAGCCGTGCGGGTATACCGGATGCTCCCGCCCCTCACCAAGAACCAGAGAAAAGGTATTCAAGGACTCTGGGTGCTCAGGAAGCCCTCAGGGAGGGGGTGCCCCTGAGGGCAGGGAGGAAGGGCAGGGAAGGAGGGAGAGGCAGGCAACTGGGGCTAGTGTGCCTGTACCAAGGCTGAGAGCCTGTCTCCCCACGCAGAGAGAAAGTCCAAGTCCAGCCGAGATGCAAAGAGCAAGGCCAAGAGGAAGGTGAGTGTGGTCCTAGGCAGCTGGCCTTCGGCCACCTGTGAGTCGGGCTGGCAGTGGAAGAAGCACCACAGCAGCCCGGCCTAAGCTCCTCTCTCTCTGCAGTCCTATGGGGACTCCAGCCCAGATACCTTCTCCGATGGCCTCAGCAGCTCCACCCTGCCTGATGACCACAGCAGCTACACGGCTCAGGGCTACATGGGGCAGGACCTGGAGGTGGAGCAGGCCCTTACTCCAGGTGAGATGGGTGGGTCTGGCAGCAACTGGTAGGAGAGGGGTGGCCCTTTCTCTTAGGTCTGGGAGGCATCATGCTTTCGGGGGTGGCCTGTTTGAGCAGGCTGCAGGGGAGGGGATGCTCGGTGTCTTGCAAACTGAGAGCACACGGCTCTGACCTGTGGACTCTGTTCTCCTGAAGCACTGTCACCGTGCGCCGTCAGCAGCACTCTCCCCGACTGGCACATGCCCGTGGAGATTGTGCCGGACAGCACCAGTGACCTGTACAACTTCCAGGTGTCACCCATGCCTTCCACCTCTGAAGGTTCGTTCTGCTGGGGTCCAGCCCGCCTTCTAACTGCTTGGGTCTTGGTGGGGCGGGGGGTTCCTGGGGGAGAAAAGGCGCTGAGAACTCCCTCTGGTATAGCGTTGACTGCAGTAGGTGAGAGAGAAGAGGAAGAAGGCTGCATTTCGGTCTAAGGTTGCTGGTTCTCCCAGCTCCTCTGCAGCCCAGGGTAAGGAAGGAAGCGAGGGGGTGGGAAGAGGTGGCTGAGTCACTAGGTCAGTGATCTGTTCTGGAATCTCCATGGCAGGCAGGCAGGCAGGCAGCTGTCTACCGGGAGGCCTGTGTGTGTGATAGAGAGAGAGAGGATATATAGGCAGGGGCAGGGGGACCTCATGGGGCTGGAAGTGCAGGGCAAGCCTGGCTGACTGCCAACCTCTCTGCCATTCCCTCTCCACAGCCACAACAGATGAGGACGAGGAAGGGAAATTACCTGAGGACATCATGAAGGTAAAGCCCCTTCCTCCCTGGACACTCTTTAGAAGTAGCTGCTGCTCAGTGAGGAGAGAGAGAACCCCTGGGAGCTTGCAGATCAGGGGCTAGGCAGCTACCGCTGTGAACTGGGTGCTTGTGTAGTGCCATGTCCACGTGGCGGAGGCCATTGCCCTCCTTGGCTGGTGGGACAGATGCTGTGGGCAGTGAGGACAGAAGGGAGGCCTGGTTCCCAGCAGGCTGTCCTGAAGCAGGCCTCAGGGCCTCAGAGAGCTCTGAGTCAGCGCGGCAGGACCTGGTCCCTGGCCCCATCCTCCGCCCCAACATGCCCCAGCCCTGCTGGGCTGAGAAATGCGCATCAGGTTTCAATAATCAGCCTTGGGGATCTGTAATATAGTGGCTTTTTTTAAAAAAGCAAATTAGTCCTCTAGGGTTGTTTTGTTTTCTGCTTCAGTTTAAAAAGTCAATATAAAAAAGTCTTTACAGTAAGTTGTACAGAAAATTGAGCAAACAAAATTGAGACATGGGCATAGTTGCTTATCTGTAGCTTTTCTGGTTATCTTTTCTGGACTTATTATGCTAGCCATTGTTCAAAGCCACACTCCCAGTTGTCATGCCCTTACCCAGCTGACAGGAGGGTCTTGGAGATTCGGTGCCAGGGCTGGATGTGGGAATGAGCGTCCAGGGCCCTGCCCTAAGTGAACTCCTCCCCAGCGGCCGTCTGAGCCTGTGAAGATGGCCAAGGGTGGGGTCTGGGCTGGGAGGCTTTGGCTCACTGCAGGCAGGGCGCAGGGTGAGTCTGCACTGGAAGTGAGCTGATGGCCTCTTGTTTCTGTCCCCAGCTCTTGGAGCAGGAACAGTCAGAGTGGCAGCCGACGAATGTGGATGGGAAGGGGTACCTGCTCAATGAACCTGGGGCCCAGCCCACCTCTGTCTATGGAGACTTCAGCTGCAAGGAGGAGCCAGACAGCCTTGGGGGTAAGATGCCCCTGAGGGAGAAGGGAGAACCATGGGAGAAGGGGGTGGCTTGGGGGTCAGGCCAGGGAGCAGCAGAGGTAAAGCATCCCTTCTGCAGCTCACGTGGGTACAGACAGCTTGCAGATGGGCTGCTCCTCCCATGCCCTTAAGTTTGCCTAAAGATGAGGGGTGTTACAGCCATGGGGTGGACAGGAGAGACTGCTGTGTCTATGGCCTTCAGGGGTGGGGGTTGGGGTGGGGACACACCTCTTCCCACCCCCTTAACCTCACACAACCTTCTTCACATCTCCTAGGAGATATCGGGCTGAGCCTACATCGCGTCTTCACGGACCTGAAGAACATGGACACCAGCTGGCTGGACAGCCTACTGCCCCCGGTTCGGCTTCCCTCCATCCAGGCCATTCCTTGTGCACCGTAGCTGTGTCCCCAGCCCCCTTTTGCTCTCCTAGGCGAGTGGGACCTGCCACCGTGGTGGCTGTGGTGCAGAGAAGCAGGACTGCTGTGGGCCCCTTGACCTACAAAGTGTGACCCTAGTACCAAGTGGGGATAGGTCTGCCCTCCTTGGAACGGTGGCTTCTCAGGGCCTGGCAGGTCAGGGTCTGGGCTCATCTGGCGGGGTGAAGCTGGTCCTGCCTCCCAGGAAGATGGGGTTCTGAGACTGGTGGCGGGTGGGGGCCCACAGCAGTCCTGTGAGCCCCCAGAGCTCTGTCTGGAGAGGGTCTGCCTGTCGCTGAGCTGGCCTGAGGAAACAGACCAGTGACCTCAGAAAAGCCCAGCACCAACCCAAGGGCTGGCTCTGCACTAAGAGACAATTGCACTAAGCAAACCCTATTCCCAAAGATGCGCCTCCCTTCCCAGCTGAGCCCTGGGGACTGTTCCAAAGCCAGTGAAATGTGAAGGAAAATGGGGTCCTGTGGGACAGTGTCCCCCAGCCTCAGAGGAGCTCTCTCTGCCCTGCTCCCTGCTCAGGCTGAGGGGCTGGAGGGAGAAACATGGCACTTTTTCGTGTGGACTTGCTATGTCCTGGTCAGAGGTGTACACTAACGCCCCCTGGGCTCTCAGCCCTTGCATTTATTTATACAGTGCCTTGCCCTGCGCCCACCGGCGGCCCTCAGCAGGCCCAGGGAGGGAAGTGGGAGCGCCTCAATGTAACTTTTAAAATTGCAAAAACTCCCTAACCACTAAGTCATGTATGACCACAGACATACATGTGTGTAAATATGTACATTTGTCTTTTTATAAAAAGTTAATTGTTCTAAGGTGTGGCCTTTTATTTAGAGAGAAATTATAGATGATTCTACTTTCTGTGGAGGTATCCTGATGGACTCCTTCTTGGCACCTTGCCTGAGCTTGACTGTGGAGTGAGGTGACATGCACTTACTACCATGATGGAACCCTTTCCATCATGTTCACGGAGAAGGTGGCAGGAGGAGGGGGCTGCCATGGCACAGGGACATGCCCCTGGAAATACAGTCCTGCACCCTTGGCTTTAGAGCCAGGGCTGTGAGTTGAATTTGGGCTTCTGGGGGCTGAGGAGTATTAGGTGTTGAGTTCTTTAGAGGAATGTGCCGTAGACCCTATGTCCTGCTGAACTCAAGTGCTAGTGCACTCGGGTGCTACTCCCAAAAGTTGACAGTTGGCACAGCACAGTCACGGACAATGAGCACAGACAGAGCTCGAGGGCCCCGAGGACGGCTGTGCCCTCTCCGAGTGGTTTGGTGTGGTAGGCAGGTGCCAGACAGTTGCATGTGCCCACTGACTCCCAGAAATGTGGCCGGTGCCCTCATTTTGGTTGCCGTGGAGGAACCAAATTTTAAATTTCATTAGTTAAGATTTAAATTGTCATGGTATCATATTGGACAGTGTAGGTAGATTCTGGATTGGGGGCAGGTCTGAGGGGGTGGGGTGAAGTGATGAGAGAACACGGGTCAGGAGCTTGGGGCTATTTACCTGCCAATTCAAGAGTTTTTACTCTTTTGCCAGCCAAGAAAAACCGCTGGTGCTGAATGCCAGCCCTGCATTGTACTGTGAAACAGGTCCGTGCACAAATGTGTTCGGAAAACCTTGGACGACCTTACAGGAAGCAGGCTTCCCTCCTCCACGTCTTTTCAGGGCCTGGCCGGGCTAATGCACACGGAATCTCTGAAAGGGTATATTTGATTAGAACAGTGTTTCTGAAAACTGCAGGTTGGGAACCATCGGCATACCGCAGAGCCCCCTTCAGATGAACCCCCTTCAGATGAGGAATGTCTGAGGGTGAAAGGTCTGGATGTGGGCTTTGCTCATCCCCCGTCCCCGCCCCTTGCCCCAGTCTCTGGCCCTGAGGCATAAACAGCACCCCACACTAGGCGGGCTGGCCAAGGGAAGCCCCCTGGCATCACCAGTCATCATCTAGGGATGCAGCCATGTCAGTAAGGGGCTTGCTCAGGGAAACCAAGCTCTGCTGACACATCTTCCATATCCTTAGTCCCAGAAACCACTCGCACCGTGATCCTCTCTTTGGACCCAGCCCTCAGGAAGAAGTATAGGGAGTTGCAGACAGCCTCCTGCTGGTAGGGGTGGGGTTATCCTGCAGGTGGTTGCCTGGAGAGACCCCAGTTTCAAGTCCTGTCCATCAGAAGATCCACCTGGATTTTTTCAAGAGGAGCCTCACCTCTGGGCAGAGAGATGGATAACAGGCCCTTTCCCAGCTCCTCCAGTTGCTGAGAAGAATTGGATCGGGCTAACTAGCCAGCCTCCTGTGGCTTATAATGGGAGGGGTGGGGAAGGGTGTGGGGGGCTTGGCAAGGTCTTCCAGCAGGTGAATTTTCTAGATTAGGAATGGCTGGGGTGGTGTGCAGCCGGTGGAGGGGACTGAGGGAGGCTGGAAGGGATGGGATGCAGCCCAGAGTGAGCAGGGACCGCTCTGGCTTCTTTACTCTCCCCTTGTCCTTCACCCTCGCCCCCCACAGAGAGTATGCTAAGTGGGAATGTTGAACCCCAGGTAGCTGTGGAAGTGACAAGTTCTAATATGCAATGTTTATTGCTTTGTAAGTTACCAAAAAGGGAGAGGAATGCCAGCCATCAGCTCCCGGCCTCCAGAGCCCAGCGGGAGTCCTGAGCTCCTCCAGCTCTTCCTGTCCCAGGAGCCCTGCACAACTGGGCCCAGCTCCTCAGAATGTCCGGTCCCCCCACCCCCATCACAGTGGAGCTGGGTCCCTGGGGCCGGGCCTGGAGGAGTGTGGGCTCAAACCAGACCCTCCAGCACAGTGAGCTGTCCCGAGGCGCGCCACTTCAGCCTGCACCTAACGGGAGAACCAGTAGAGTCTGACTGTTCCCTGAAGGGCGCCGGCCGTGGCACTAACTCAGTAGTCAACAGGAGCCCCATCGGTGCGACAACAGTGGTACAATCTGAGCCAAACTCGGCCACAGTGATTTTAGGTCACCCTCAGGACCTGCCGATGCGTTTGTGAGTCATTCCAAGAGTTTCAGTCTGAGTGCTGAAGGTGGGAGCTCTTGACTGAGGGAGCTAGGAGGTGGTTGAAATCCCCGTACTATTGGGGCTGGGATGGTGTCATGCCACCCAGGGCCACTTTCCAGTGGGGTAAACTGGCAAAGTGGGGCTCGGCCACACCAGCCAGGGCTCCTGCCACATCTACAGATGCTCAAAGACACTTCTGGTTGGTTACGGGTGTTCCTCGAGTTACGGGTGTTCCTCGCCATACTCCGAAGGTGCCACCATAATTGGGCTAGTTTACTCATTCAGCTCCCTTGGCAGTGGGAAGAGAGCTAGAGGCTGACTGTGCTTGCTGCCCATGTAGAGCTCTCCAGGGAAGACAGATAAAAACTCTCCCTTCTCGGTATGTGGGTTTGCAACATCTCGCAGTTGGACCGCACGCAGAGTGAGCGCTCTCTCAGGTCATGCTGGAAGTCTCCGGTGGGGACTGCCAAAGACAGATTGAAGTCCTAGGAAAAATCCCGGGCCTGCTTGAGGTAGAGTCCTTGCCTCTGGGAGTGGCAGCCCTGGGCTGGTGGAGCTGATCACACCCAAGTGATCATTCTCTGGAGCTACTTGGCCTTTTAACACAATTTTCACAGACCCCAAAATCCTTGTCTTGTACTAGTGGGGAACCAGGAGCCCTGCTGGAACATCCAGGAAGCTTTGGTCGCTGTCAGACAGCATGTCCTTTCTTTACTTGGGGCTGACTAGGCCTCCATTGTGTGGGAGCCTGAAATTCATCTGAACGCTGCACTAACCTTTCCCACTTGTCCCCGTGGTCACAGGGCGAGGAGCCTGGGGAAGGGGAATGGGGAACTGGTGCACTATCTTTTTCAGGAAGGCCAGTTCTGGGCAGAGTGAGACTTGCCTTTGACAGCCAGGACACCCTGGGGAGGCCAAGTTTGGGGTAGCACAAGGGAATAGCTGGTTGGCCACATGGTTTTCTTAACTCTGGGCAGCTCCCAGACACCCTTTTTTGCTGATTTTCTGGGGCTGAGGAATTGGAGATGAAGCCCCCACTTCTGCAGGCTCTGGGGTGAGGCAGATGTAGTCTTTGCTAAGGGTTTCATTTCAGTGGAGGTGATAGTGAAGGTAATGAGGCGAGGGCATGGGGACCAAGCGTGAGGAGGGGCAGATGTCCAGCCCGCCATCCCTAATACAGATCCTCGAGCTCAGAAATGGGTGAAACTGGAAAGGACCTCACTGTCTGGCTGGGTAATGACAACACGGTCCTCGAGTGTTCCCGTTGCACTGGGCACTATGCCAAGCACCCCATACGCACCGTGGCACTGGCACCCACCGCAGCACCTAGTCACAGGCCAGGAAACCAAAGCCCCACTGGCTTGCCCAAGATGACTCAGCTAATCATTGGGGTGGGGGCTGGATTCCAACCCACGTCTGCCTGTGCCCGAGCCCAGACTGCTTCCATGTCTGCTGAGGGGGAAACTGAGGCCTGGGGCGGAGGTTCGGGAGAGCTTGCCAGGGAGCAGGGCACTAGCCCCTCGTGGCAAGAAAGCCTTCGGGGCCACCAGGACAAGGCAGCTAAAGCTGCAGCTGCTCTGCGCACTGCAGGGACACTGCCCCTGCCTTCACCCTGTGACCTCCCCTCCCCCCAGGTGGCAGAGCTCTGCTGCTACAGTCCCCAGGGCCCCAGCAGGGAGGGTTTGTCTTGGTTCTCAAGGGGACCGATGCCCCACCTATGCCCTGGAGGCCACCTGCAGCTTGGAGGGGTGGGGGCCCCAGGAAGTGGGACACAGGCCGCCTGTCACTTGGTCTCAGTGCTGGAGCAGGACTCCGGCCTGCTGGCCCTTATCTCAGCTCCAGGGATCAAAGAGAGCTTTTCATCACTTTCATCACGTCTGGGTGTCTGGGCGTCTGTCTGAGCAATGTCACCAGGGCTCTCCAGTTCCTCTCAAAACCAGACCCTCTGTGGGGTCCTGGAGTCCTCACAGGGCTGGACTCTGGTGATTGTACCAGCCAGGACCACTTGGGGGTGCACCCCAGCTCCCAGCCACGTGGCTGGGGGAGTCACCTTGTGGCTGTCCTGAGTCTAATTCTAGCTTCTTGGCCCCTGAGAACACCCAGCACTTCTGACCGCTGGCTGGTTGCTGTCCCACATCAGGTGGGCTTCCTTCAGAAACCTCCCCGCCCTACCCTTGGACCCAGCTGAGAGGCAGCAGGTTGGGCCCTCCCTTCTATTTCTGGCCAAATGCCTTGCATTCGCCTGGGTTCCCTTCTTGGTCTCTGCCCTCCATCTTTCATTGACAGCCAGGTGGCTGTGGCGTGTCCAGGGCTGCAGCCTCTTCTTATCTTACTCTCAGTCCGGAGAATCTGCCCAGAGTTAGGAAGGAGCAGTGAGTCCTTCCACAGTGTCTAAATACTCAGCCACATGTTTGCTCGGAGAGCAAGAAGTACGCCCATGATGTTGGTTCAGGAGTGAAGTCAGTGGCCTGGGCCCCCGGAGTCCTGGGGTGGGGGTGGGGTGTAGGACGGTGAGCCAGGCTTCTCTGAGAAAGCCAGCTTCGTGGGACACAGTGGTGGCATTTGGGAATCTGGGGTGGACAGGGAGGGAGTCAGTATGCCAGAAGAGCTGTTACTTTTCTAAAACTAAGAACAAGTCAAGGAGTCCTGTCCCGCTGGCCACATGGGTGCAAGGCTGGCCTTGGGTGGGGAGGTGAAGGGTGACTGCCTCGGCTTGGACAGAGGGTTCTGCTCCCTTCTCAGCTTGCCCGGATGGGGAGAGGGGCTGGAGGTCAGGGTGCTGAGAGCCATGGCGAGACC